TGTTGATTTTTCAATCTTGTATGAAATAATAATATAGCACATGTAATTATATACATTGATCATGGTTCTTCTAGACCATGATAAAACAGTCTCACACATAAGTATCTTGTTGATTCTTTAGAATATTTATAATTAACACGATAGTTCTCTTTCATATACAAATAGTAATTCTCATTACTAACACTTATATGCTCAAACTTCAGGTTGAGATGTCAATGATTTGGTCACATAGACTTTTCAAGAGTTTGATAGTAATTGCATTATTTAGGAGATAAACTTTGTAGGGCTTGATATTTAAATACGTCGTATATAAGTTATCAGCACCATACCTCTGATTTAAGCTCTAAACGACGTATCAATTAAGATTAAAATTTAATTTTAATCAAAATCAAAGGTGATTTTACCAAACGATTCAGAAGGAAAATAGTATCATATAATATACAATTGTTTCCATTAATTATGCCGATTTGGAGTATAAAGAATATTTCCAATGTATCTGTTTCGATGTTTTGCTAAGTGTTGAAACACACAAAAAAAAAATATATATATATATTTATATATATATATATGGATTTGGGGACCGCCAATGAATGTTATTATGCAAATCGTCAAGTCCTCTATAATACCCACCTATTGGGTTAGGTTTTAGTATGCAAATAACAATTGTGGGAGGCTGAATGATTAAATGGAGGAAATCAGGGAAGTTTTCCTATTGATGGAGGGCTCTAAAGGAGTAATCAAGTTCATGCAATAAATGATTAAATGGAGGAAATCAGGGAAGTTTTCCTTTAAATTTATATCATTGCTAATTTTCTTTTTATTTACATAATACGTTTATCCAATTAGTTGTGTGCCCCTAGTTAATTGTGCTTTATTATTAATTTGATGTTTTGTTCAGCAATGTGGGTATTAAGTTGAGTTAGTAGTTGTTGAGGTTAACTAGTATGTTAGTTTGACTTTCATGAGTTGCAAGTTAATCTGGAACATGCATATGCTAGTCCAATAATTAATTAGTCATGTTCTATATGAAATTATGAATTAATATGTATTATATTCAGTTTGATCATTGCTTGAGAACATGATTATAGTAAATTGTGAATAGGTCAGCTAGTCAGAGCCTCATAATTTTTGTTGAAGCTAGCTTACCGGTAATATGTTTATGACCATTTCTATATTACTTTAACCTTAAAAAAAAAAAAAAAAAAATCTCACTAATTATAGTAATTTGTGAATATGTACTCTAAATGTATTCTCATTTTGTTACTATCTACAACTGCATACCGTAATACCATGTCTAGCTTCAACCTACTTCTTCCATTTTATTGTTCCATTGATACATCGTATTTTATTATGGAATTTGTTATATGTACTACCGTTCATAACATATGGAGCTGGTTTTTGAAGTGATCAATTTACAAATTATATCTTCTGCACTAGTAAAGGTATGTCCAATATTATTACGGATTCAATAGTAATGCCAAATAATTATTTCCTATAATTTATAATAAATTTGAGTTTGATAAATGATAACATATTATTACTTTATTTTATTAATTTACCATGTGAATTTCTTTCAAACAAAGCATTAAGTTGATTGTTTATCGTATCTGACAATGGTTTGGCTTTAGATCCCACTTGGTCACTTGGCTTTAGTGAGTATAGTATGTAGTAGGCACTTTGTTACAATCGTGAAAGCAATTTTATATTTTGTTGATCAATTACCCTTCGTATACATCATATTTGGTTTTATGATTGAGGTTGTTTATGTTTTATTGATTAGCCAAGGGCAATTTTGTTTCAAGTACATAACATATATTGCTTTAAAGTGCTAAATGGTACAACTCTCAATTCATTATACCTTATTGTATTAATGCATTATTTGTATTGTATATGGTATGCATACATACATATTTTTTATTGTGTCAAATCTCGATTAACTTGACATTGAAAGCGAATTTAGAATTATGAATCAATGTTAATTTTGTTTACTTATTAATTTTAATTTGGCTAGTATAGCTGAGTGGATCGAATAAGGTATATTTTGATTAAAGCTCGAACTGATTATGTCATGTCTTATTTTTACCTTCTCTTTCTGAAAAATGTAGATGGATTGGTATATATTTTCGTACATATGAACTTGAAGTTCCTTAATTAATTAAATATATAGCAAAAAGTGTGTTATGAGTTCAAATAATTAAACATGACATTGGGAGAAACTATACATAATCAACGTTTTCTTATGCCCATAAATATAATAGGTTTTGTTTTTTTTAAGATGAATGTAATGGGGCATGAGGAACATGATAAGTGTTCTATAAGTATAATTTTATATAAGCATGTTTTTACTAAAAGGAACACGTTACTTGATACATGACATTGCCAAAAAGATTTATGGCTTAAAAGTTGCAAGGATTTTAAAGGTTGTTGGATTGATTCATTCCATACCCCCATATGCAAGGATTAGGGGGGGATTGTATGTAATCCTTGCATATAAATAATAAAATATATTGATGGTCAGTTTGATACATACAATAACTTAAATATCAACGATTTATTCAAAAGAAATGGCCACATGTTAATTAAATATTTTCAAATGATACCACCCTGAAGATGGATATAAACAAATGACATTTATCATATACTAGTTGTAAATGCTCTAATTTAAAATTGATGCCCTAAAAGTACAACATCAATTGTAGACGAACCTATAACATGCCTGAAGCGTGATAAATCAACAGGTTCTAAAGATAATTAAGTATATTTGAAAAGGAAAGGAGTCATTATTGACAATGACAAATTTGAGGAAGTGGTATATAACATTACATTTCTAGAATAAATCACTTTTAGTAAAGTTCATATGTTTCATGATTATATAAAAGACTCCAGAAGAGTATGAAATATCCAACAAGATTAACATGTATCAAGTTTATAGTTTAAACTCCAGTAGAGTATGAGTAATTATTGGATAAAATATTAATTGATTGTCTTGCCAATTGTATAAAGAAACACATGTTGGTGTTCTAAAATCACATGACATTCATGGCCATGCATATAGTAAGTTTAATAAAGTGATCACTAGTGTTGAAAACTGACCAGAGTTCAAATTTAGAGAAGTGATTGGATGTGATAATTAAATTAGGCCATCCGAGTTTAATAATAATTACCCGTATGGAAACCTGAAGTTTCATTTGATAATGTGCTGACGCTTTCTCAATGTTAAATATATTGAATGGCAGGACGTAACATTGAGATTGAGTTATATTTGGATTGTGAGTTATAATAATTTAAATTGATGAAATTTCAAGATTTAATATGCTTTGATTTTTTTTTATTTTTTTTATATAAAGGAATAATGGTTGATAAAGGAGTAATGGTTGACTAGAAGTTCACCAAAATAACTTATATATTATTGTCAACTATTAAGTGATCAGAAGCTCACCAAATACATTATTTAAGTTTTTAAAGATTCAAAAGATCATCACCTACTAGAATTACGAGCAAATGATTTATGTTTGTATAACAATTCTTTTGATTAGGGCTATTATATGTCAGCACATATGAAATAGGAGAAGAAAGAAAAACGTACAACTGCACAACATATGTCTCCCCATTGACATTGATCTCCAGAAGAGAAAATATTATTGAAAATTTAATAATAAATACATATGAAATATAAAGTTAATGAATAAATAATTCTTCATTGAAATTGTTCTCCAGAAGAGATAAATTTTGATTGTGATCCTCTGAATTTTATTAATGCAAATTTGTCTACTAAGTTGGTATATAATAAGATGACCCTATAAATGAGATATTTTACCAACTTAGGAGGAGAAGAACTAATTAGCAAAAGTTGAAAAAATTAATTAAAATAAATAAATAATAAATATGATCCCTATAATGGTAGTTTAAAAAGTTATATATATGCCAACTTTTGTATATACATTATCAAGATATGTTGCACATTTATAATTTGATTTGTATTCAGTATGACACATGTTGCATAGCGTTGAAGATACATTTTGGTCAGATTAATTATGTGTATACATTGAGATAAAATCTTGCCAATTGTACTTGAATCACTACACCTGAAGTGTAGGTTGTATATGATCGGTTCCAAAATAAAGATATGTTTAATAGATATGATATTTGGCAAGATAGTGCAGTTGACACTAATAGTGTAATAGTATATAAATACCATAGTGTATGAAATACCCTAAAAGTGGTATAGATATCTGAATTATTATAATAAATGGCCTATGATGTAAGAAAAATTATGATGGTACCAATGAGAAATGTATTCAGATATCATAGTAAAATAGCATGCGGAATGTAAGTTAAAGGAATTTTATGATACCGGTACATAATGAAACCGATGAATAATATGCATATGCATAATGGAATGGACTAATAAGTAAGGGATCTGAAATATATGTATATTTTGATGTCGACATAATGATAATGATCATAAGTTTATCATGGACCCGAAGCCTACTCATTGTATAATTTGTTTAATATGTTATTATGTTTTATATAACTCATATTGCATGAATTAATTTCTTACAATGTGGTGCTGATAACGTGTTATAAAATAAGGGGGAAAGATGAGAGATTGAGAGAGAATTAATCTGTTCATATTATTCCATATGATAGGGGTATTATTGAACTCTGCCATTTTCAGAACAGAGAAAAATAGAGAGATTTTAGAAAGAAGAGAGGAGAGCTTTCATTATGATTGAATAATGAAGATGAATACAGGAGCAGCTTATATACTACTGTTAGAAGATTCTTAGTAACAACTAACAAACTTATTACATGTCAGCATAGAGCTTATAACAAACTCTAACAACCTGTAACAAACTAATCCAGCGTGGCATTAGTTGTATTAGCAGCAATTACTCAGCAGTAGTAGCAACAGGTATATATATATACATAGAATATTAGAAGTAGAGTTTGCTTAGATAAGAATAAACCCTAGATCTAGAATATTGTGGAAACATACAAAGAGAATAATGGATATCCACACAATATTTTCATAACAAGATTCTAGATGTTAAATTATCAAAGCTGGCCAGGCCCCTTATAAAGTCCATTTTTCCCCAAACACCATTTTAAAAAAGGCGCCAAAAAATCTTCAAATAATCAGAGAAATTTCAAAAAACAACTCAATTATAAATTTCAATTTCAAAACTCCTCCAATCTTTGGCTTTGCCGCTGCCGCGATGTTCAAGTTGACGCTATTCATCGCCGTCAAATGCTGCCAATGCTCCACAATGCAGGTACTCTCTTGCTGTATTCTACATTTTTTTTAGATTATCAAATGCAGTCGACCCCACTTATGGGATTACGGCTTTGATTGATTGAAATTAGGTGAAACAGCAGAAGAAGAGCAGCAATAAATGGAATTGTGTGGTCTGCAATCAAAAGCAATCGGTAACGAAGATCTATGCTCAAAGTCACCAAGCCAAAGATGTTCGTAATGTTGTTCAATCATTCAATATGTCTCGTAAATTGGAGGATGAACTACAAGAAGTTCCTTCTTTGGGGCATTTCGTCGAACAGTTGGATGGTGTTCAGGAGGCGGGGCAGAATAAGGGGAAGCGTCGTACTGATTGGACAGAGTATATTGAAGATAAAGAGAATGTTGAACCTGCTTACTTGAGATCAAAATTAAGTGGTGAGAATAATTTGGATTTGGATTTTTATTTGGGTTATTAGATTTAATGTTTGAATTAATTGTTTGGTTGATCATGCAGAGGAAGGAATGGCAACTGAAGCGATAGTTGTGACTGAGTTTTCTGAGGATTTGATGTTCAAGAAGCCAAAACTGAAGGGTAAATTTGGTTCGAATACTTCGATTGGTTTAAACAAAAATCAATCTTTGAAGCCTAATTTTACTAAGAGAGGTATTGGAATTTAGAATTTAATTAAATTTGGATTTGATTAGTTGTTTGTTTGTCAGACTTGCATATTCTGAGATCAGGATATTTTCATTGTTTATTGTAATGCCTGTTTTAAACTCAATTACGCTCTTTAAATGTCGTTGAAGCAGTGCAGGATGAATGCATTTCTGATGGTAGTGGTCTGATCAACAATGTCAGAAGGTACAGTGAGGAACCGGAGCAAAACAAGGTCTTGGGAAAGATGAAGACAGGTTCTTCAAAGTGGCCTCGATACACAGCAAAAGATGATTTCACTGAAGGCATCGGAAGGAAGCAGCAGCAACCAAACAAGAGCAAGGGAATGATGAAAGCGAATTCTTCCAAATGGAGTGAGTATATGACAGAAGATGATGATGGCTGTGATGACAAAGAAGTGAGAGCAGGCTTTGCTGATGATATGAGACTGATGTGTGGGTATAAACTGGAGAATGATGGTTTCGATCAGCTGATTGAAGAAGACATCCACCCCGACTTCATGTAGTTCTTCAGTCGGTTTTAGGTGTATTAATGAAGATGCAGTATATAGTATGCTTGTTTCAGATGGTGAAGGTAACTTTCCAGATTTCAGAAATATGTTTATTTGGCTGTTACAGTTATATGCTGATAGATAATTTCCTGATTCAAGTATTTGTAGATAGGTATTTTGAAAAGTTTATAGAAAGAAATGTTATTGGGAGGTTTTTGAACTGTAAAACTTCCTGGTAGATCTAATTTCTGCTCGAAAATTTAGAGACTGCAGATATAATCAGCATTTTTGGCAAAAAAATTGCTTCTAAGCAACATGTGATTTTGATTGACAAATTTGTGCTTGAGTGCAAAGAATCATGCATCATGAAATAGGTGGATTGTTTACGAGTAAACTAGCAACATTTTTCCATAACCTAAAAACATGATATGAGCCTGCCCAATTAGAACCCTAAGCACAATTGTTTGATCCAATATCTGAAATAACTCAGAAAAGTGACAAAAAAAATGGATACATGTGACTTTTTTTGTGTCAAGTATGGCTAGAAAATGAGACGGAGGATATATTAAGAGTTTGGAATTAGGCAGCCCTTTTACCAATCAATGTTACCTTTGCTGCTTTGCATAGAAAGCGTCTTGTCAAAATGCTTTGACTGTGACAAATACGAGTTTTTTGCACATTCCTTGTCAACATAATCTAATTGCATATAACGAAGAAAGCGCATATTCAACGACAATTGATTAAATAATTCCATCCCCTTCCTCTTCTTAGAAAACACATAGGCCTGATCAACCTATACAAACTCATCATCAGATCATAAAGGCCTTATGCCTCCATGGAGAAATTATAAGGCTCTCAAGTCACAACCATGCATAAAGCAGAGGGTATTAGCAAACTTCACACGAAAGCGTCAAAATTAAAAAAATATTGCAACTCTTAAACAGCATTTAGTAAAATCCTGAAATCCCATCACTAAAATGAATCAATAAAAATAATCCAAAACCCCAATAATGATATCCTTATATCAAACATTCAAAATGACCATGAGGAAACCTAAACTGATATGCCCATGAAACTAAAATAACAATATCCAAAAATCCCAAAGTATAATAACTAGAATAACCTTCTGTCAACTGTTGTCTGAAAATAACAGTTTAAAAGAAGCAAATCCTGCGCTATAATGATTTAAGCAACCTAAATGAAATCCTAATTAATCTAACATCTCAAAGATATTCTTAAAGTACAGCCCATGAATGACAGTTGAACCTGCCCTCAAAAATATGGGCCTTCCCAGCAAAAGAGTATCAATGAGAAGATTATGAATGGATCAATCAGTAAGTGAAAGTGAGCCAAGCTGTTCACCGGCTTCAGAACCTAAGGTAGATGAGTGGAGAACATCCATGGCCTCAGAAACTTTCTTCTTGAGAGCATCAGGAGACTCAATAAGGTGCAGTACTTCTGTCTGGTCCATCTCTAACAGCATGCCAGTGACTTTTCCTGCATTATCATGCTCAAGACGATCCACCAATGGATACAGTTGTTCCCCTAGCATCTGTGACGATGTTAAAGCAACTTTATAAACAAAGAATACAATGTAAAAGTTTGAAGCAAACTCATGTAAAAGTTCAATGGAAGAAAGTGATAATGACTTTAGGAGGAAAGATGTGCCAATAGAAAATATCATTAAACTCGAACATTAGCAGTTATTTAGAAGCATACCATGCGCTGACTGTCAGGAGATGCAGCAGCCAGGGCAGAAGCAAGTGTTGGCACTGACAGTGGGCCAGATCTTGCAACATCAGCAGCAGTCAAGGGCACTCCAGAAACATCCAAGGTCATTGGCACCAATGGCCTTCCCAGACCTTGAGGAGCCACAGGCGAATCAAGGCCATTTCGTCCATTAGCCATATATCTGAAACTCTGACCACCATTGCGATTTGCAGTCTACATTCACCCAGATATAATGGGGTAAACTAATGCCTTCCAAAAGACTGAAGAATGACATGATTAAAGTGAGAAAGAAAGAAGGGATAAAAGCACCTGTTGCTCTTGCCGCAACTGATGAGCATTACCGCCTCTCCTTCCACCTACACGTCCAGGTTGCCCATGTCTCTGGACGGGGAAAGGCATCACAAAGTTTGGGGGAACTCCTGGACGGATCCCTGACAAGATTTGCTGCTGGAAGCCATATCCTGCAGGGTGAGGGGAAAGCATACCTGGAGCACCTTGGCCAAAATAAAGCTGTTGAGGAGCAAGTCTAGGTGACCCAGGATAGAATCCATGCATCCCAGTCGGCAGGGGTGCCATTCCTCCGTGCAGGTGAGCTTGAGCAAAGTGAGCCTGAAAAAGGACAGGTGAGTTAATTCTGATGCCAATTTAAAGGGATATATATTGAACTAATTTTAGTATAAACATAATAACTTAATAAGCGGGTCAACTAAAAATGCTTAACTTAAACAGAGAATAGGGAGAACGGCCAGAGAAGTATATGCAAATCCAAGATAATTACTAAGCTCATTTAAAGTATAAGCAACTGCTGCACTAGCAGTAATTCTAGCTAACGGGAATACAGTACTTGTGTACAAAAAAGTATTGCCTTTCTATAAGCTCTAAACAGTTTGTCTCAAACCATCTCTCCTAAGAATAAAGAAATTTCAGCATCCTCGAGCACAGATCAAATAATGTATGGGCTAGAGTCACAGAATCTCAAAAACGAGATAATATGTTAATTTAAAACGATTTTGGACCAAAAACAAAGATGTTCATTGAAAATTTCAAGCAAGGATTCATGCAAAAGATTTACCTGCAACCTTGCTTTCCGTTCTTCTTTGCGTTGGGCAATAGCAACAAATATAGGCTTCTTTCCTATCATCTTACCATTCATTTCATTTAACTGAAAAGATTAGAAAAAACATGTTAAATATCCGGAGCCTTGGGTAGAGAACTGAGTTTAAATATCCAAACTCCTAAAATCAAACTGAGTGAAATGAAAGATGAGATGAATACTGCTTTTGTTGCTTCCTCTGGGGTTGAGAACGAAATAAAACCAGAGCCCTTGCTAACACCATGAGGATTAAGCATGATCTACAGCAATAACAGTATAAAACTGAAAATTAGCAAACTCATACTTTATAAAACATAAACAAAAGGAGAAATATTAACAATATATAACTATAGCTTAGAGATACCTTGCATGATGTTATAGTTCCAAATTCAGAAAACAATTCCTTCAGGTTTTCTTCATTTATGCTATCATCAAGATTTTTCAAATACAAATTAGCAGCCTGCAGCTTTTCATAGCGACTGATTCTTTCTTGTTCGAATTTAGCTTTCAAGTCTGCTTCCCTCTCTGATTTCCTTTGAGCTCTCCCTACATACCAAGTCTTGTCATCCTGAACTGTTCCATTCAACTTTTCAACAGCAGTTGCTGCAGATTCAGGACTTTGGAAGTTGACAAAACCGAAACATCTGGATTTTCCACTCGAATCCTTCATCACAACAGCACTTGTGATGGAACCAAATGGGCTGAAAGCTTTCATAAGGTCCTCATCAGTATAATTTTCAGATAAATTCTTCACATAAACATTAGTAAATTTTTGTGATCCATCTCCGTTTCTTTCCTGACGCCGAACAAAAGATCCAACATACACTTGTTTGTCATTCAACAACATGCCATTCAAACTATTGATTGCCTTCTGTGCAGCTTCCTCTCGGTCAAATTGTACAAATCCATATCCTCTAGATTGACCACTGCTATCAATAGCTACCTTGCAGGAAAGTATGGCACCAAAAGCAGCAAATGTGTCATGCAGTGCTTTGTTATCAATAGAAGAATCCAAATTCTTGATAAAAACATTAGCAAATCCACTCTTTCGCAGGCTAGGATCTCGATGAGAATACATAATCCGAATAGGCCTGCCATTTACAGGCGTGAAATTCAAAATCTCCATTGCACTTGCAGCTGCAAAAAGAAATTCCAAATGAAGCAACAGAGAAGAAAAAATAGCAACATCATTTTGTTTATTTTGTTCATCAACATTATATTTTTGTCTTGAGGAGGGGGGAAAGGGAGGGATATAAGTACATAACATAATAAAGTAGCTCAATTTAATAACAATGATTTGAAGCATCTACAAGACTACAATACACTTTCCTACTGCCTTTTCTGGCTTTCTACATAGCATATAGTTTCACATAGTTTATTATAATAAGAATCGCGGAAGTGAGTTAAAGTAAAGGAATGTCAGGCTTGATTTGGGCAGTGATGATAAACAATGATACGGCCGCATTGTTGGAGAAAGACAAATCAGGGACAGGACAGGACCACAGGAAAAGTTAGATGGGCATAAGGAGAATTGGAAAACTTTAGAAATAGACATTTCTTATAAACAATATAATTCTCTTTAAAAAAAAAAAAGTAATGAGAATGATAATCATACAAATCATCTAATTTTCTCCTCTACTAAATGTTTACAATAGTACATTATAAAATTTGGTCTTTTTGATTTGGATCCCTTATCATCTAATCTAGTTTTTGTCACTTTTCGGATGCCATGATCTACATTCAACAAGTATACTGTGAAATTAAAGAAACAACATTAAAGCTAGAGCTAACAGAATGAATAAAGGAATTCGATTTAACTTTTATACTTACCCTTAAAAGGATAAAATTTTAATCAATCCAACAAAATCAAAACAGAGAATTTTATCACATTGTATCAATAATCCTTACTAACACAATTTATATAATCCAAATCATAAATTCATGATAAAAATCAAAATTCAATCAACCACAAGATAATTAAAAAACACACAATTTAAAAAAAAAAAAAAATTGGTAAAATTAAGGCCAATGTAAACAAGAGATTAAGATAAACAAACCATCTTGAGGCGAAGCGAAATTGACATAAGCATAACCAAGTGATGATCGTTTGTTCTGATCCCTACAAACCCTTACAGACACAATAGGAGCAACATGATTAAACAGTTCATACAACTGACTTTCATTCACAGTTGCATCCAAGTCACCTACATACAATGACAGATTCCCAAACACTCCCCCAACCTCGGTATTTGCTACCGGGGTTGTTCCCTGACCGGCTACGACCACAGGTGATGAGGGTTGGTTTTGGGTTCCTACTGCCGTCTCCATCAAAATTATATAAAATCACTTACAATACAAAAAAAATATAATGATCAAATAAAATTTAACAAGAATTTTAGAACTATGAGTCAGGGTTTTCTGATATATGGCTGAAAATTTTTCTGGGGTTTGGATCAGTTAATTAAGGAATGATGGAAGATTAAAGAAAGAATTTTTCTTCCATCAATTTTTTTGGTTTTTTTTATTAAAAAAAAAAAGGAAAAAAAAGGAGGAAGAAATAAAACAGAAGGTGGAATTAGTCAGGAAAACTTGAGTCTAATTTATAGTATTGAGCTTTACCATACGAAACGTGGGCGTTTCGAATTAGGGGATATATTTTTTTAAAAAGAAAAAGTAATTTTTTGTTTTTTTTTCTAATAATCATTTGATTATTTTTTGAGATTTTAAGAATGATGACGTGGCGTATCTTTGCGTTTTGTTTGGTCTCTTGACTGAAAATAATGTTAAAAAGTGTGTGAGAGAGAGAAAGAGAGAGAGAGTGTGACGTACACTCAACAAGTAACGAACAGAAATGGCAGTTACAATCCGTTTTGTTGGGAAATTTTGGATCTGTTTCCTTTTTTATTGCTGCTTTCTCTTTTCAATTTAATTGAGGTAACAAATCAACGAATTTATTTTTAATTTGATTCTGATTTTTTTCCTTTCTTTCTTAATTATTTTTTAATTTGTTAAGGTTGACATGTTTTGGTGTTAGTAAAAAAGGTCACGATTTTTGTTATTGTTCTTATATGATTTGTTTTTTTGATATCTTTGTGGATTCTATTACAATTTACAATTCTTTTTTTCTTACAATTTACAAATTTACAATAAAGTCTAATACTATCTTGATATGAGATCTTGTTTGATTTGAACACCTAATACTTCGTATTATCTTGACATGAGTTATTGTTTGATTAGAAAGTTGTAATCTCTCTTTTACCATAATACCTTTAAACTCATAATAATTATGGAGTACTGTACATCTTTTTAAAATATAAACCCAACATTTTAACATTCAAAAAAAAAAAAAAAAAAAAAAAAAATTGTGTATTGCATGGGCATTAATCTAGTATTGAAATTACCAAGCTAAGTTTGGTCTAGTGATATTGATTGAACCTTCCAACATTGAAATTGGGGGTTTAATCTCCATTAGAGACACTTTTAGGGTGGGGATCTCTTACCCTTCCCCACCACTCTCAAACTATTTTACCCGCAAATATCGGATCAAAAAAATCGTGAGGGTTAAAGTATGGTTAGGGTCCTCCAACATTATAAAATTAATCACACTTATGCAGTTAATATCTAGTAAGATTGAGTATAAGACAAGAGAAAAAATAAAATTTTGAAACGAAGTATTGAATAAGTCTTGTGTACATTGGGTGTACATTAATTTTATTGTGAAACAGCCAGTCTGAGCGTAAATTTAACTATTTTTATGGCAAATTTAGTTTTTTTTTTTGTTGAAAGAAAGACAATGTATTAATTAATGGACAAATTAAAGCGTCCGAGAGTACATAAGGAGACACTTCCTACGGACAATGGTTCATCCATAATTGTTCTACACCAAATTTAACCACTTAAAGGACAACTTTTAATTTATCGTTGGTTTGAATTATATTTTAATGTTTAATTTCTTATAGATACTTGATTACATAATATAAAGACTAATATGATTAATCTAATACATTATAAGTTTTTTGTAAGATAAAATTTATTAGTTGAAAAATAATAATATTTGCAGTATAAACAGTAACTTTAAATACTTTTAGCATAACTTTAATCCATAAATACTTTTAACATAATTTTAACCCATTTAACTGTAAATTTACGTACACCCGCCTTTTTGAAGAATTTGTGCGAAGTATTTGGTACACTAATCCATCATAATGACTAGTGTAAAGTTTTCCAACCTTGAGATTAAGAGTTCAATTTCCACTACACTTTGAGGACAGGGATTTCCCTTATCTTTCTGACTTTCTCCCTTACTAACTCTCAAATAGCGGAGAAGAGTCTGTTAAAAAAAATTTTTTGGGGGGGGGGGGAGGGAAGGGTAAAGAAAATCCCTACCATCAAAGTGTCAGATTGACATGTGAGAGATTTAAGTCTTATAGAGAAAGTGAATTTATGATGAAATATTCATGATATTAATTAAAAATTCTCCTTCTATTTTTAAGTAAAATGTTTCTTTTGTGCTTGTATGCCAATGCAAAACTTTGAGAACAATAATATCTTTAATTATCAATAAATAAAATTATAACAATTAAATATTAATAAACTATTAATTAAGATAATTCCAACAAGTACTTACGATACTCTGTAACATTTTTTAAATCATAACATTACATTAGTCAAATACAAGTAGATTAGATGAATAATGCAAAAAGTTAAAATAGTTCACTTAAAAAATCGAGGAGAGTATTGTACTTTATTCTTTTTTAACTTGCAACATTTTTACCTTTACATTATTCTTATACTTTTTTTTAAGGAAACTGAGCTAATGCATTAATTAATGGACAAAGTATTCGAGAGTACATAAGGGGAAACCGTTGCCGGAGAATGGTTGACCCAAACCTGTTCTACACCAAAAGGCATTAGCTTAGCAAGGTGATGAGTAACAAAATTGCCATCCCTTTTAACATGAGACCAAGAGCAAGACATAAAATTACTACACAACGTTAAAATATTATCAAGAACTCCATCTAAATCAGACAGGAACACAACATGCTTTGCGAGGTGATTAATAAGGACTTGGCTATCCGACTCTAGGTTCACATTGTCGAGCCCATACTTATGCGCAAGTTTCACAGCTAGCAAGAGAGCCTTCCCTTCTGCAATCTCAGGGCACCACCAAGCTCGGACTCTTCGTGTCGCAGCAAACAAAACCTTCCCCTCATGGTTGCGAGCAACCACACCCAAACCCACCCATCCTTCATCATCAAAGAGGTGTCGGAGTTAATTTTAATTACTCCTACAGGTGGAGCAACCCACGTTTTGTTACTGGGTTTCGGTTTTCTAGCGCCAATCGCATAAACCTTTTTATTATAAAGTCCAAACTCTTCCACAACTTTGTATACTCTCATAAGCAGAATTTCGTTTGGGATAATTTTGTTAGAGAAAACTTTGTCATTCCTCTTTGCCCAAATTACCCAAGCAAGTATTGAAGCTCGTTCCTAGATCTTCCTTCCAAGTGTCCCCCACCTCACCAACAAGTCGCACATCTCCTCGTTCTCCAATGGTTTGGCAGCATCACACTCACTATCCAACCAAAGATCATGTACACGAGTGCACTCAAACAGGGCATGAGAAGCATTTCCGTCTTTCACTCCACACAATCAAGTGCCGAGCAACAAGTCCCTCACAGCCTCACAGGTAAGGTGTTTGTACAGCAGCGCCACACAAAGTGCTTCACCTTCGGTGAGACATCTAGGCCCCATAATTCGACCCAAGCTTTATGAAGTAGATCGAAATTACACCCTTTACCAAGCATGTAGGCGATTTTCGTTGAGTACATCCCATCTTTCGAGAAAGCCCAAGTAATAACATCCTTCGAAGCATATTCATTAAGAGGAATAGAAAGGATACATTTTCTATCTTTCTCATTAAAAATCGGAGTTATCACCTCCTCCTTCCATTCCATTTTCCCGAAATCCAACAAATCACTCACATTGGTTAATCCCTCAACCTCCATACTCGTAATGAACCTACCTTCCTCATCCGCCACCCAAGGGTCACTCCAAATGTTCACCATTGTGCCATTGCCAATTCGCCAAATCAATCCTTCTTTCAACAATGTTTTTGCACTCCAAATACTCCTCCACAAATAGCTGCTCGCCAAACCCAAAGAAGAATCAAGAAAATTACAATTAGGGAAATACTTAGCTTTCATGACTCAGACTATAGAGAGAATTCTCCTTATAAACCAATATCCAAGCTTGTTTGCCCAACAAAGCAACATTGAAAACCTCCAAATCTTTAAACCCCATACCCTCAAGACACTTGGGCGTACTCATAGCTTCCCACGATTTCCAATGAATTTTCCTTTGGGAGCCAGTGTGACCCCAAAAGAATTTTTCCATGGCCAATTGAATACTCCGTATCATCGAGCTTGGAAATTTGTACATTCCCATCAAGTAAGTCGGGATGGCTTGAATCACCGCTTTTAAAAGTACCTCTTTCCCGGCTCTCGAAAGCAATTTTTCTTTCCAACCTTGGAACTTCTTCCATACCCTGTCTAATATAGCTCTAAAAATGTCTTTCTTCGATCTCCTCGCTATCGTGGGAATTCCCAAATATTTGCAGTGATTGTCAACAGTGCGCATATGAAGGAAATCCACCAACTCCTCTTGTTGCTCCATGCTCACTCCCTTGCTAAACGACACCTCCGACTTCTCATAATTAATTTTCTATCTGGATGTTACTTCATATTTGTTGAGTATATCAACTATGACTTCACAATCCTGTTGAGTCACTCTAGTAAAAAGTAAGTTGTCATCTGCAAATAAGAGATGAGAGATAACGGGACCACTTCTACTTGCTTTTTCCCCATGAAGTTCACCAGCTTGAAAAAAGCATCAGCCACCAGAATAAAGAGATAAGGGGAGAGTGGGTCTCCTTGTCTCAAGCCCCTAGAAGGAACCACCTTACCACATACATTCCCATTTATGATAAAGGAATATGTGACCGAAGACACGCAATGCATCACCAAATTAACCCACCTTCCATCAAAACTCATCGTCAGAAGCAATATTCTCAGAAAAACCCCATTCAACTCTGTCATAAGCCTTACTCATGTCAAGTTTCAAAGCAATTGTGCCCTTTTTACCCCGACTCCTATTATTCATCGTATGAAACACTTCTAGAGCAATAAGAGCATTATCAGTTATGAAACGACCCGGCACAAAAGCACTATGATTTTCTGTAATAACTCCCAGCAGAATAGATTTCAATCCGAGCACAATCACTTTAGAAACAAGTTTGTACAAAACACATTACAAAGGTTAATAGGTCGGAACTCTGACATACTAGTAGTTGACTTAACTTTCGGAATAAGAGCGATGTTAGTATTATTTATGTGGTTTAGCGGGGTGATTCCACATAAAATATTACTAACAAAATTAAACACATCATCACCAACAATATGCCAATATTTTTGGTAAAAGATAGCATCATACCATCCATCCCGGGGGATTTACAAGGGTGCATTTGTTGAAGAGCCATAAACACTACTTGTTTTGTGTAGGGACGGAGAAGAGCATCATTGTTTTCCTTCCCTATAATCGGTTTCACATGCTTTTAAACCTCCTGAATACTATCACTTTGTGGGTCAGAGGTAGAAAATAAGGTGGAATAAAATCCACTCACAATATGCTCAAAGAGATCAAACCCCATCTTCGTCATATAACCCTTCGATAGCATTTCTTTTCCTTCGATGAGAAGCTTTATGGTGGTAGTAGCTCGTATTCTTATCTCCATCTCGAACCTCAAGAACCCGAGATCTTAAGTACCAATAGGCTTCATGTTTTCGGTGCAAATCATCCAAAGTCTGCTCAAGCTGTGCATTTTTCTCACAAGTTGCGGTTGTGATTCTCTCTTCTTGTAGCAGCTTTAATGCCCACTCCACCTCTTCAATTTGCTGGCCCAACTTATCAAACTTCTCCTTAATCCAAGTCTTCAAGTTACCGCTTGTCGCCCCAAGCTTCCCAAAAACATCCTGATCACAAGCTGACTGCCAAGCATTCCTTACCACCATTTCACATGACTCGTCAAATAGCCATGCTGTCTCAAACTTAAAGCTCTTGGACCTCTTGCGCCGCTTCCTTGATTTTGGGAATAATCTCAAGACAATATGAGCGTGATCGGAGCAGATTTTCAACAAATGTTCAACCGAGGCACTTGGATAGATTCGGCTCCAAGAGGAAGAAGCAGTAAATCTGTCAAGTCTTTCTCGCACCCTCGTTCGCACCGTGTTTCCTTGCTCTTGAGTCCACCATTGAACTTTAAAACCAAGGTCTTGATGGTCACAAACATCCAACACATCTCTAAATCCCCCTATTTCCCTCCTATCTCTGTCCACAACCCCTTCTATCTCATTGTAAGGTAAAATTTCGTTAAAATGACCACCAAAAACAATCGGAACATCTGTCTAATCACATAGATGTTGAATTAGCTTCCAAGTTTGGTGCTTGTTACCCGCCTCCGGCCATCCATACATACCTACAAATCTCCATCTCACATCCCCTTTCACTACATCACCGCAAATATGATTTTGGGAAAAGGATACAAGTGAGAAATCATCATCCTCTTTATTCCAAAACACGCATAAACCTCCAGCTTTGCCTCTACTAGCCACTTCAAATGCATTAGAGTAGCCAATTCTTTCTTTAATATTTTCTACAGCATCTTTACTTATTTTAGTTTGCGAAATGAAAACTAAGTCCGGCTCACCGCTCTACTCCATTTACGGAGCCTTCGAACTGTCCAAGGGTTGCCCACACCCCGACAATTCCAACATAGGAGACTCACTGTAGCGACAGGGTTGGAACTCGCCAACCTCCGTCAAGAAATCAGATGACATCGGTGTTTCGGAACTACTCCTCCTTCGTTTCTCAACTCCTGCATTGTCTTCTGCAATATTATCATAAATCACATCCCCACTCCTTTTCTGTCCCCCATTAATACACTGCCCCCCCTCATCCACCTCCATAGCTCCCTCCCCTTCCCCTCTAACTACTCTTTTCCAACCTTTTTTGCCCCTCTTTTTCCCCTCCACACCAAAAGTAAAAGGATCTCTAAGAATTCGCCAAGGTTCGCTGTTAGGGCTTTAACATAGGCATTAGTCCTACAATTAAAAGGCAAATTAAGGACTCTAATCTAGAACAGGGATCGGGTTAAATCAACATTGTCAGGCTGTTCATTCCCCTCAATCTCATTCAGCACAATAAAGTTATTCTCCCAACACCAAGGCCTTCCCTTCCACACTTTCTCTTTGTCCTTCCAATGAAAGAATTGGAATGCGTACAAATTCAGGCTAATCACCCTAATCATCAAATCATTAGTCGGGCCCACACCTTCAGCATAGTTCTTTTGAAGGCTTCGACATTATAGGATCTAGACGTACACAAACACCCAGTCAGCAAAAGGTCGATGTTTTCATTGGATTCTGCACATTCTACATCACCTAAATCGATTAACCCTCCTTCATCATCAGTAATCCGGAGGGTCGAGCACTTCTCAGCCAAGTCATCGGTCATCACCAGAGTCAACGCAACCATAACGGAGGAAAGCCGCTCGCAGCAGAGATACGTTTTCTTTCGAGGAGGGAAACCTTTTCTTTCGAGGGAGTTTTTATGACTTAATTGTCTTTAGCATATTTGAGTTCTTTTTTACATTATTCTTATACTTTATTTTGACCAGATTGGATAATTTTATAAAAAAAAAAAGTCATATATTTTGCTAGATCCATCTCGATTTGTTCTATCTTAATATCAAATGCTTACAATTTTACAAATTGGTAGTTATAGTTATAAACACTTGAAATTATGCGTTGCAGAAACCAACGTGAAATAAAAAGTTTTTTATATAAAAAAAACCGCCAAAGAAATTATTTCTTGTGTAGGACTGTAGGGGATAATATGGTACAAGGTTAATTTACACTTGAGCTATTATTTTAAATATTTGATCAATTTTATTTCAAGTTATTAGGTGTTAGGTCATCACATATTTGAACAAATTTAGAATCAACTCAAATTCAGATCGGGCCAACTTCGTGTTGAGTTGATTTCAAGTTTTTGACTGAGTTGGATTCAACCTAAGTTAGGTTAATTCAAGGTTTAGATTGAATTCAAGTTATCATTTTTGGGTGAAAATCAAATCTCGAGTTAAGTCATACAGGCTGGCTCTATATTTTGGAACCAACTTTTCACTCCAACATCCCCTTCACTAATATAATAGAGATACATATTTAAAATTTGAGTATCACACTTTGGAATACAAATGAAAATCTGAGAGAATTCAAAGTCTTTCAGAATATTGGTGCTCCGTAGCAGTTAAGGTGGGTAGAAAAGCTTGCCTGTAACTTTGATTTACCATACTGTTGTCGTCTCATATCTGCTTTCTGCCCTGCCACAAATAACTTCAACACAGTAAGGAGTTCTGTTTATTGTTGGTTAAAGTGAAGATGAATAACATTACTGAAAATTTGACAGGAAGAAATCATGGGAAAGACACAGACGCGAGCAATACATCAAGAGGAGTATCAATAGTATTGTTCAAATACTAGTTATAGCTGATTTATGGATAAAGGAAACAGAAGGCTGGGAGCGATTTGCTCAAGACCACATACTTAGCTGTAATTTAAATAATTTCCTGTATTTCATGTCTTGTTACTTGTTAGGCAACATAAGGGATCAGTTTTCATCAAAGGATGCCTAAAAAATTTCTGTTTCTTGATTCTCATCGAATTGAAATCCCTTCTGACTTCTTGCAGCAAATCTTCATGAAAGAACCTAATGACAGTAGCGTACATATTTTCCTTTCAATCTTCAACCCTCTTCACCTTGAACCATGCAGAGAGCTTAATTTACCTTGTATTTCCCTACTTGGCTACTTATGATCAAGTTTGCATAAATCACCAATTTACAGCTAACCAAGTTACATCATAGTTCATACAATGAAACAGTAATAACGTCTGTAGCCAGATTTTACCAGGCATGAAAACAAGCAGTTTGTTCAGATCATAGTTATCTAATTCAATACTATCCACCAGAAAACAGCTTGTTTGAGTTTTCATGTAGTTTTTGCTTTTTAGAAATCCCCAATTGGATAAAGATCATAGGCAGGGCATGCACCTAACCACCTATGCTGTTACCTTACATCCCCTTCCATGTTCTCTAGAACTTTAACCTTTTTCAATTTGTTCTGTATAGTTGATGTTATAGAGTGCATTACACAGACATAGCTCTTAGCTTTCCATAACTACTTCAATCTCCCACCAGTGAGAAACAAAGTAAAAAGGAGAGTTTGAAACTAGTATCTGCTTTTGGGATTAATACGTGAGTAAAAATATACCTCAGAAAAATACAAGAACCCTTATTCCTTGCGCAAAAGCCTAAAACACAGCAGAAGAATTGAAGGTAGTATAAATATTAGGCTGCCTATTGAAACACTTTCCAACCTTAATTAAACATAAATAATATACACCACTTGAAAGAATGAGTATTTACTAGTGTTTGCACATGTGTTTTTTTTTTTTTTTTTTTCCCTCTGAAACCATCGATTCTATAAGTTTCTCATATAAACTGAAAATTTTCCAACATGAATTGGCAGATAAGTGATCCAGATTGTTTGTAGAGACAGTGGTGTAGAGATAAAATAATCCAATAATGCAGCAATTTAACATAAAACATTATCTTTGTTCTGCAGTTTTCTCTTTTCAGTATTTGGCAATACTAATACAAGCTCAAAGGTATCTCAAACCCAGAGCATACCCCATCCGTTTGTCAAACATTTGAGAAGCATAAACAAGGACCAGCATGTATTCAAGACGTTACCATAGACATTTAAAATATATATATATATATATATATATATATATATATATATATATATATATATATATATGTAGCTTCTAGTATCCAAGCTATTCCTTATATCTAGTGGCCATTATGTTTATTAAATGAATGAATTTCTTTGACGAAAACAGTTCCAAAATATAAAACCATTTTATCCAGTAAGATATGTATAGTAGCACTTCCAAATGCATTGCATTGTTGAACTTGCATCTTGTTCATGACTTCATGTAAGCAAGTTTTCTACTATCAAGAAAAAGTAAATATAGAACATGAACAGAAAGGCTAACAGCTGTTTTCAAACTTGGTTGCTAAATGAAACACTTCATTACTAGATGTAGATGTCAGAATTCAAAGAGTTCTAAATAACAATGAAACAAGTGATAAAAATATATATGGATAGCAAATAGTGAAAATTTTCAATAAAATTTGCTAAGCAAACAGGGGTATAATGAATTTAGCAAATTTTGGGACAGATGGGCAATCTTTTAGAACCCAGCCTCAGGTAGAAGCTTGATTGATTCATTCAGGATAATTTATGAAAGGAGAGCAGATTACCAGAGTACGATCCTTTCGATCATCATTGGGCTGAAAGAATAGGCCGAAGTATGCACATGAACCAGGTTCTAACACTATCCACTCAATTCAAATGATTTACTCCATATTATGCCAATGGCAAAAGTATTTGACAAAACAAATTAGCAAAGGTCCAGAACATTCGATATATAACTCTGACAAGTATTCATAGAGAGATATAATCAGAAAAGTTCCATTCCTCTTTAATTGCTATTTGTCTAGTATATTATTGCAACCTTTGATACTAAATAGTCTTTTTGTAAATCAGATTAAATAGAATGACAAAGGAAGTTTCCAGCTTGCTTGTCCTACCATCACACCCAAAAACATTTTGGATGATTTCAACAGTAACAATAGAATATAGTATAAAGACAGCAGATTTTACAAAGTTCTCGCCAGCACATCAATAAGATATATTGGAAGAAAATATGAAAAATATACATTAGACTTGCCTATGAAGGTTGTTCAACAGAACAAGGTACAAGGGATCATATGGAGAGAGCAGAAAAAATTGCCGCACGACATATCCACAGGTCGAAATGCTGAAAAGCAGGAAGATGTAATAAGTTGCTTAAAATTAGAAAAAAAAAAAATATATAGCACATGTTCACATTTAAGTATAAAGTTATCAAGGTTCCTCAACTTGTTTAACAACAAAGAAGCAAGAGGTACAATGCAAGAGGGTGTTTACTTGAATTAGAGATTATTTATGATTATTTGAGTTGGAGATTGTTTTAAGATAAAGCAAGGGAACTACAAAAATCGATTGAGTTCTTCCCTTGCTTTATCTTAAAATAGTGTACCTCTAGTTGTGACAAAATTAGCGTGACAAAGATTGAATGATCTTATGCAACACTGAACACCCCCTCACCTCAAAATAGAACAGGAGTATGTATATGGGCATGGTCCATGGAACACAGGGCAGAACATAATAACCAATTATCAGGCTTGTACATTTACATAGAAAGAAGAATAGGCTTGTCATATATAAGGAGAAAGATATTCAAGGTGAGAGCCAGGTGAATAAAAATAGCAGACTCTAACCAATGTACACATTTTCTAAACCAGGGAGAAATCAAGCAATTAACCATACAAAACAAGAAACAACTAGGGAGCTTTAGCAATACAAGATATGGAACAATCGATTGTCTTTTCTTGATTATCTATGCCAACATCAGATGGTGTATATCAATTTATACATAAGAATTTGTTAGCTCTTGTTGGGAGAAGTTTCGCAGCAGCACTTATTATGTAAAAAACAGAACAGGCCTTTCTGCTAATATTTATGCTACTGATTAAAATTGAAGTGAGTAATGATGTGAATCACCATGTATCATAGAAAATGCTAAAAAAGAAAAAATCAGCTTAATCCATAAGAATATGCAATGCTAAAGGTTGCACGAAAAACCCACACAGAATACAACAGCGAGGCAGTTTAGGTAATGTAAACCGTAGCTACAAGTGTAAGGAAACAAGAAGCTTAAGAGAATTTACCTGCCAAAACATATCAACAAAGTAATCCAGATGACTGCATTTAACCAGCTTGATTCCTTGTAGCCAACCCAAATCTGCAATCACATGAAACAGAAGTGGCAGTCATGTTTCTGCATAAAAAAAATTGCTATTGACCAATGGCATCAGCTTTGGTTATATCCAGGGACAATATGAGAGAACATTTGGAAGAAAAGGACATGTATATTATTAATTTCAGTTCCTAGTCTTCCTACGGAGGAGTACCAAGACCTATTGCCACTTTGCCAGTGATGATTGGAAACATTTCAAGACCTATGCAAGTGTCAAGCACTCAAGCCACTCAATTAGGCTATAATAAAAATGGCATAATTTCCATTCATATGCAATCATCAGTTAAATACCCAACTGACTTATAGCATCAATCTAACAGTTGGAGAAAATCAGTCCCTTAATGACGGGAAGCATCATTAAGCACAAGATCATTGGACAATTATATTATATCTAAAAGAAATATTTAAGATAAAGCAAGAGAAGAACAAAAACCAATTAAATGTTTGACATTTACAAAGGAGATGAAGAAACAGTACCGATAAAACTGCAACATTGATGTAGAAATCAATGAGCGTTGCTACCATCCATCTGCATATATATAAAAATTCTACATTCAGAATACAATAGCAATTGGTTACAAAAAAAAAAAAATATTTCGATAAATTTTTTATTATAAATATGAAAAACCAAATAGCCAACACAACTTTCAGGTTTTACACGGTATTCCTTAAAGTTATCCTTAGGACAAAGTAAAGAGGCTATATAAGCAAAACTTTCGAGGATGAGGTGTTGACAATTTGGACATTGCCAAAATAATGAACCTATGAGCTATTTACTTCCATTCCTTCAACACTTCTAACACAAAGATCCCTTTAAAGACAGGGCAATGACAAATTAGTCAACCTATGAGCTATTTACTTACATTCCTTCAACAGTTCTAACACAAAGATCCTTTTACAGACAAAGTGTTGACAGAGTTTCAAAGCTACATAAGAAACAAAACTTGAGAAGATGTTTTAGCGTGACAATTAAGAACCACTAACTTGAAAGTGATAATCGGTGCGACTGGGGTGCAAATAGTTTTCACCGATTTGTTTCCTAAGGTCCACACAACACACTCTCACAGTCTCACACAAGCAATTTTGGGTGAGTGTTTTAAGTCACACAAATTTATGCCCAAAATATTACAAAGGAGAAGAATGAGAATAATAGTAGAAAGGAGATTGAATTGTGTACATATTTCTAGTCTGAAAATCAGATGATATATTGGAAAACTCTGATGTGCCAACTAATTTGAGAGGAATATAAAAAGATTAATTCTTTTGTAAGCAACATACACAAGAATACATGCTAAACGTAATTGCAATAATTAATTATACATAACCTATTATTCATAATGAGACAGAGAAAATAACCATACAAAAGGAAGTAACCTACTAACCTCCATCAAAAGAAATGTTAATTAATATGATTATCAGAATGTTCATAAAGAGGGAGATATGAAGACAATTCAAGAAAAATAGATTTATCAACCAAAACGGGATTCCAGCGCACAAAAAGGGAGCTCACAAGTGAGTTGGGCTGCAAGCTCCACACCCAACCCATGGTCAAGAGAAAGATAGGCAGCTGACTCCACGACCAACCTGCGACCTCTATCACACAGCCACACACCACACCTAACCCGTAGGAAAGCGGGAACTCCAAGAAAAAAATGACATTGCTTAAAACTTATATATATTCAACAAAAGGAACAATAACTTCTACCACACATACTATTCTATTGCCAAAATTATTCCACTGAAGAAATAACTCAGCCAAAAATATTTGCACTGGTAATTAGTAACTCCAATATCTCACTTTAACCTTTGTCATCTGATGCATTATTTTAACATGGGTCCATAGAAAACAATGCCTCTCATACCAAAGTGATCAATGAATTGGTCAAACGAATGACTCATTAAGCTGATATTAGTTTATATTAGATACAGTAAAGAAAATGAGTTTAGTCAAATGGTAAGCAGAAATAAGTCACTGCTCTATTCCCAAAAGCTGAGAAGAAAGCACAGAGGCAAGTTACAGTACGTCAAGACACCTCATAATAGAGTTAAGTATTTCTATTAAAATTTTCATATTACTTATTCAGATTAAATATAAGTTAGGAAAATCCAATTAGAGAATATATTGGCAGAATGAGAGAAGCTTACGGTACAAGAAGCTCCTTCTTGAAAGGTGAACCATTAGTTATAAGAGTGTAAACCAAGGTTCCAAGCATAAGGAAGCCTAGAGCACTGAAAATAACTTTTGCAGCGATCAAATGAAGTGCGCTTCCACTAAATGCATCTTTCCTGTTGAGGAAGATACCCGTATATAGAGAGTTAGTTTTTTGTTCTCAGACAATAGCTGGGGAAAAAAAAAAGCCACAACTTCAATTCACATAGGAGTATTGATTGCAACTCCACCTGTTTCATAACGTATAATCTCTCCTTAAATGGTTTCACAGAAATTTTATCAAAGATTAAACTGTTAGGCTGTTAGCTACCTTAAGTGGGGACTGATATTTATTATTGAAGATGGAAAAGGAAAGATTTAGGGGGGTATAATAACAGAGAAAAGGGAGATGGTGAAGAATAAGAACAGATTTAACACAGAAAACACAAGGAGATACGAATGAATTGAGGTGCAGATAGGAAGAAGCCACACTGATATCAGATGTCCATATTCAATTTAATACTAGCTGCCTGAAAATAACCCTTAACATCAAATCAAATAGGGGCAATAACTACAGCCAAGCACAGAATAAAATTCATATGTTAAAAGAACTATCGAAATTTTCCCCATAGCCAAGGTTAATTTTAGTGGCTGCAGGATCAAAATCTGACATATTTGATATTTCTATGGATTCTGGCAATGAAATGAAAATGAAACCCGCAAAGTAAAGGGAAAAAAAAAAAGTAATAATACTATTTTCTTTATAAGAAAAGAAGAATTAGCTCACTTGTCTTGCTGTCGCAATAAAAGATGATACATAGGATCATGAGCAGATTCTTCAGCTGAAAGCTTGAATAATTGAATGGCAATGTATGTACAAGTAGTAATGCTGAAAAGGGAAAAAAATAACACAACAACATATTATTTTTTATTTATTTATTTATTTCTCTAGAAGAGAATTGATCTACAAGAGAAATACGAGTATGAGACAACTACGCTACAACCAAACTTAATATATCAACTTAACAGTTAACATAAAAGCCAAATATTTTTTGACAGATTTTTAAGTGGACTTTAAATAAGGGATGAAGGGAGTAATGAATTTTTCCAGCCGCATTAAATAAGGGGACTAGGTTCTCTATGTAAATTCTTGGGTCTTTTTGTTTTAGCATTCTCAATATATCAACTCTTGCCATAAAATAATTGCAACCCTACAACCTCACCAACCAAAACAATAACTTTTGTAAATGGGAACTGTACAAAACAATTGAAGTGGCAAGGTATAATAAAGGTAAGATATTTGAAATTGGATGGAAGGCGTACACAGGCCCGTCCCAATAATAACGGGGGCCCTGTCCTATGGCAAGAAATTAGGTATTGGTCCATAAATAAATAATAAAAATAAATGTAACTACATTTTATTTTAGTTTTTGCTTTTTTTTATAGACGTATTAGAACAATGCTACTAATTAGACCCTCGATCTATTTCTCATTTTAAAAAATGAAATGAGCAATATTAACATATTTATGTTAAATATTGAAACTTGAAAAAAAAAAAAAAAAGGGTAGAATTCTAAAATTCTTTACTTGATTATTTGGGATAGGTTCTCTTTTAGAACAAGAAGGGTGAAAAAAGGAAAAAAACTTTTTTTTTTTTTAAAAATAAATAAATAAATAAATGATAGCAATAAAAAATTGAACCCTTGACCACCTAAGCATTAGATTTTGGTTTTACATTTTAAAACCACTAGGCTACTACCAAAAATACGATACAATATTGCCACAAATATTCCTTATTAGATACATCAAAGCCTTTAATTTGGAGCCCCATTTTGTTAGGTGCCCTGTTACATGTCCCACGTTGGACATGCAGAGGGCCGGGCCTGGGCATACAATATATGAGAAGAACAGATAAACCAAGACATACCTTCCAAAACAAACCAGAAGTATGACCCAGATTACTGATGTGAGCCAACTTGATTCCTTGTAGATAACCCATACCTAATTCAACAAAGAGCAATAGAGCATGGAGTTTTAGCAGCTGTCAATCATGAAAAGGAAAATAAAGTTACACTTACACAGATATCAAGCAGAAATGAAAAACAGGTTACACAGTTGTCACTCTTAGACCAAGGAGAAAATTAAAAAAAGAAGTGCATTGACAAGGAAAATCTAGTTACACAGATTATAAACTTGCCCAAAATTAGTCTGATGTTGCACTCTAAGTGTTGAATATAAGGGGCATAAAAAAGAAGCTTTTTGTTGATAATGTAGAGGCTTGTTGACAATGGTCTAGATGACCAGAACGAAAACACCACCTTAACACACCGCCACCCCGGTAGCAGAATTTGATCCAAAAACCCTATTACTGGAGGCAGGAGGGTGAACTTCAAACAATTGGGGGCCTTTGGGGCACTTCTTATTTCTTACCAAACTAAGCATTTGCTAACAACAAAGTTTGATGGGATGGCGTTTCAGGAGTGAAGGTCATATAATCCCCCCCCCCCCCAACACACACACATTAAAAAAACAAAACTACCTGCCAAATCCCGGAACAAGAAAAAACAGTATTAAGGTTCTTCTAATAAAGTGTATGTTGCCATTCATAAAGCATGTGTACAATCTGCACAGATTAATGCTTATGTAGAGTACAATATTATTAAACATTTCAAATCCCAATGCAAATTGTTATACAATGTTTGCATATTAGTTGAGAATACTACCAGATTTTTTGCAGTAATCTAGAATTTCACGTTTATTTAGAATAAATCATTAACGGATGATGGAAATCCCGAACCTTTAGAAATCTTATTACTTTTTTGTTACAGCAATCAAGCCCCTTTGGCCCTTTCAACATAAAATCATTCAAACCGAAAGTAACTGGTACCATCTGGTGAAAGGTTGGCTAAACATGACAATGAAAATAACAGAAATCTTACTTGAAGATCTCATGTGCAACTGTAATAATTAATGAGGAATAGCTTGGGGTTTTAGCCTATTTAACAGTAAATGATGAGATGTACATATCATACCGCCAAAACAAAAATATTGATATAGAAGTCCACCAAAGTTGCTGCCATCCATCTGCAGAAGATCACAAAAAAAGATTATTAGCAATCATCACCAGCCAAAGTTTAATCAATGGAAAAATAAAGGGGGAAAAAAGAATACAACCGCACAGGATATTTAAACAAAAACAATGAAGTAAAGGCAGGGAAATCAAGCATCTGAGGCAAATGCCCACCTTCTGTAACATATTTGTTCTGCTGCATCTCATAAAAGCTAACAACAACAATATTAACCCAACACAGCTAAAAAAGCTCCCACCCTAGGCATGGGAAATGCAGCTCAATGTCTAAAACGAATGGTCCATCGAAGGCAGTGTTAGGTTCCCCCTAGGTTCCTATCAACATCATTTTCTGACATTTCCATAGACAAGCAACCAATAGCTCTTGGCCAGTAATATCAAGTTTCTTAAAACCCAATCATTTACTAATTAGAAAAAAGAGAAGGCCATCTCCAAATGCCTCCATTAAGACGTTATTTGATGTCTAATTCCATTATAATTACAAAGCAACTCTCTACGACAATCACAATGCATTACAAATCAACATTGGTTTTCCCAATAGTTGGATCTAGAATTTTCCACCCAAAGTAACTTTCTTTTACCTCAAATTTCAACATAAAAGATCTTTACGACGAAGTTTAAGCAAAATTTATTACTCAACTAGGAGAGTGCTATTGTAACGAACGAACCTTAGCAATTTAGCATATGAAATGAAGAATTCTGACTACAAACTCATAAACTTACACTAGAACTTTCAACACTATACCCCCAACCTTCCATTTTTTGCTGAAAAGGCCAATTACAAAGCCGCCCGCAACCTATTCAATTTGGCTCCCTAAGCCATTTACTGGACATACTTTTCAGCTATTTGATTACACCAATTGAACAAAAGCCACTTTCCAAACAATGCCAATGATTCTGCAAAAATTAACTACTGAATTACATCCCTATTGAAGATGCTACTGATCATTATTGCTACACAATACAACACGCCTACGCCGTCTCAATTCAGTTGTCATATTACTAGTTCAAATTACACGAACATCATCATAACAATCATTTAAATTCTCCAATACAATCATAAATACACAAATATGCAGTAAAAACTGTCATCAAAATTCAAAATTGCTGGAAAACTAAGTAACCACAAAATACACAGAAATAAAACAATCATCATGAAATCAACTGAAAAACAAAGTGTCAATTGCAATAACAAATTCAAAGTTATAAAAAAAAAAAAAAGAAAAAAAGAAAATTACGGGAAAAGGAGGTCTTTACGAAACGGAAGACCATCAATGGCGATAGTATAGATAAGAGTAGCAACCATAACGCTTCCCAATGCGATGAAGACTGCTTTCAACAACGTGACTGTAGAATTCGCCATTGCTGAAGCTCGAGAAAGTTTTCGCCATTATTGGTGATTAAGGTGCTATATATGTTACGGATATGTTGGAAATGAGTCTTGTACATCATTTTTATTACGACTTGTATGAGAGGATACGGTGATGCCACGCTTGCTAATTTTGACGCAGATGCCGACCTGTCCGACTGATTTCCCCACTCACAATTGAATTTTCAGTTTTCAACCCAATTGTCTTTCAAAATAAATATTCCCTCATTTTCTTTTTATTTGCACCATGAGTCCATGACTCGATGAGGCATGAGCCTACTTTTGGAGTAATTTTCATCAATATTATATTTCCTTCATACTCCGTATATAATACTAATTGGTTAGAAAAGTCATAAATTTCAAGATTATGTTAGTTTTTTAGACATGGGCAATAACATCCTCATCCTCTAATATACTCTATCTTTTACTCTTATTTTAACACTTTATTTTCTGTTTTATATATCCCACTTTCCACTAACTTCATCCTTTTAACTATTTTTCATCCTCTATTTTCCCCACATCAATTAAGGTTCTCATCTTCCTCTTCTCTCTCTCCTACTTTTTACAAAATAGCATTGCCAAGTGTCAAATAATTATAGGTGCATGTTTATGTTTTTTTTTTAAAAAAAAAATCCCTTATCTCTCCTCACGTGTCACCCACCCCACAATTCCACCAAAAACTTGGCTCTTGAGCCAATGCACCTTCATCCTCCATTTATAGAGGATCCACCATCATCCTCTTTAATTGAGGATCCTCTTAAAAGGTTATACAACAATCCTAATCCTTTAACTTCACAAAAAACATAAAAAAGATGAGGATCATATACCCCATTGTGGGTGCTCTTAGATTTTACCTACATATCGTCACTATAAAAATTAAATTTTAGGGCTTTTCTAAGCTATGCCCTCCAAGTTGTTCGATTTCTAAGTTGTATTCATGCTTTTTCAAAGTTATAAGCCGTGCCCCCTACCTCACGATATTTTATCAACAATACTCTTTGATAGTCATATCCGTTAACGAAAGTTAAGTTATTTTATCAATAATGATATTGTGGCGTTATTAATTTGACACGTGTCCCGTTCTTATAAGTTTAACACTTTAAAAAAAATTAAAAAATCATATAATACAATAATAATAAAAAAAAAGTTATTGTTAAAGTCAAATGTTATTATTAATAATTAGTGAGGTTGAGGGCACAGCTTAGACGTTTGAAAAAGCTTGAGCATAGCTTAGTAAATGAAGATGTTTGGGGGCATAACTTAGAAAAACCCTAAATTTTATTTTTGTTAAAAAAGTAAAAACGCTAATTAAACGCTTGTTTGACATTGTTTTTTATTTTCAATTTTCTGTTTTTTTTTTTTTGAACAAAAAACCAAAAATAGGAAACGAAAAAGATGTTTCCACTTTTCTTGTCACTTTTAAAATCTTATATATATATATTTCATATACGGCTAGTCGTACGGTGCGACCCACCATAATTTTTTTTTTTTTTTAATTCTTCTTCTCTCTCCTCTTTTCTTCTTCCATCACCATTATAATTTCCAGATCTGGTTTACTATTGGAAATTACTATTGGAAATTTATATTCTACAATATTTTCCTTTTTTCCCTCAATTTTATTTCTCTCTCCTCTTTTTTCTTCAAACTTCATTAATGCTGTCGTCTTCTTAGCCCAAATTTCTCAAACTTCATTAATGGTTTACTATTGGAAATTTATGTTCTACGAAATTTATGTTGAATTCAAGCTTATTTGCTGAATATTTGATTATATAACTTGTAAGTTGTTCAATTTTATTACTTAATTTTTTGTTAAATTGAAGAACGAAGAACAAATTGTTTTCGTGGATAGTGGTGGTTTCGTGGGTGGGTAGTGGTGGTTTGGTGGTTCTGGGTTCTAGATCTGGTTTCGTTGGTGGTTTAGGATGGTAGTGGTTTGTTGTTGGTGGTAGTTTTTTTTTTTTTTTTTTTTTTTTTTTTTTTTTTTTTATGGTAGTGGGTAAGGGGTTACTAGATCCGGTCAGGGGTTACTAGTTCGGTTATGGGTTACTAGGGGTTACTAGGTCGGGGGTTACTAGGTCTGTTAGGGGTTACTAGGTCGGCGGTCAGGGGTTACTAGGTTGGTTATGGGTTACTAGGGGTTACTAGGTAGGTTAGGGGTTACTAGGTCAGTCAGGGGTTACTTGGTCAAGGGTTACTAAGTCAGTCAGAGGTTACTTTTGTCTTGGGGTTACTTTGTCGGGGGATACTTTGTCATTTGCTGATTTGGTACTCTGCCGCATGCACTAGAAACGCACTACACACACACACACATATATACTTCCTCCGTTATGTTAATATTGCAACAAGGAGGAAATTACGCATCCCAAAACACATTTTATATGCTAAATATCTATAATTGTGTAAGAGTAAAAATTATAAAAAGTTGATATTGTGAAAGTATTATATGAGACGAATCCAACAAGATCCCACTTGACTATATTTTACTTAATGTATAATTCATATTATATGGTCAAACAAGAGTGATGAATAGTGCAAAAAGTCCATTGTTGCAATATTAATAGAACGGAGGAAGTATATATTTAAGACCGGGTTATAATGAGAACCTATTCTAGAATAGGAACCAGGAACAAATCTGGACCGTCAGATGTAGGAGAAAGAGGCACGCGATCTGACGACCCATATTTGTTCAGACAAATTAAATGAAAAATTCAATTCAGGCGCCTTTTCTCTCTCCTCTCTCTCTCTTTCCGCAATTTTCTCTATCTTTCCGCGATTTTTTCTCTCTTACTCGCCATTTTCAACTGCAAAAACCTTCGAAAACCGTCATAACCATCAAACCAACGGCTCAATTTTACTATAAAATAACAATTTCATGTTTTACTGTCTACATTTTTCAATTTCGGAACAAAAATTTTCGATAATTGGCTAAAATTGACGAATATAAGGTATTTTATCATAACTTCGAAGTTCATACTATTTTGTTTATTTTTTTTTTTTGCAATTTTTTACTTATATTTGTGTTTTTTGCTTGATTATGTTGGAATTGAAGTAGCAGAACTTGAATCGGAGAAATTCGAAGTTCAATTTTAGTGTTTTCAGTTCAAATTCTTCATAATTAGGTATTATCGCAAATTAGTTCATTTTTGTTCAAATTATGATTAATTTACTTATCGTTTCAGTGCAAATTTGTTGTAATTTAGGTTAAAATCGACATGCATGAGAAAATTATTCAAAGTTTTACCTATATTTGTGTTTTTTTTTTTTTTTTTTGCTTGATTATCTTGGAATTGAAGTAGCAGAACTTGAATTGGAGAAATTCGAAGTTCAATTTTAGTGTTTTCAATTCGATTTCTTCATAATCATATATTATGGCAAATTAGTTAATTTTTGTTCAAATTATGATTAATTTACTTATCGTTTCTGTGCAAATTTGTTGTAATTTACGCTAAATTTGACATGGATGAGAAAATTATTCAAAGTTTTACATAAATTAATATTAGGTTTTTCATAAATTTTGGTATAAAATTATAATAAAGTGTTTTTGAAATAATATTTGAAAAACTCTATCTGTTTTATATTTATGAACTTAAGTAATTTTACTTCAGCTCATACTAATTTAGAATAATTTTGGTTAATTTATGAGTAATTTTTGAGTGCATTATTGTTGCTATAGTACTTCTGTTCTACTGAGTGTCAGAAACTTGCTAAAAGTAGATAAAAGATTATTAAAAGTAGATAGAAATTAACTAAAAGTAAATTAAAAGTAGTTGTTTGAGTTTCTATAGTTTTGAGTGCATAATTTTTTAGAAGTAGATAGAAATTTGTTAAAAGTGTAGATAGAAATTTGTTAAAAGTAGACAGAAATAGCCTAAAAGTAAATTGATTAATTGTTACTGAATTACTATGAAATCTATAGCTATTGTAGCTTGTGTATAAATCAATAAATTGATGTGACTTTTGTATTATGGCTTGTGTATAACATATCAAAAATGATGATAATCCTTGCTCATTACATTACCCTATACATTATTCTTGGTCATCTCAAATTTGTTTTGAATTGTTCACATATTTAAATGGCCAAAACTACAAAGAAAAAACCCGCAACAAAACCAGATCCAGCAAAGGATATTGCTGCAGCAAAGAAGGCTGCTGCAAGTAAAAAAGTTACCGTGGTCAAGAAATCTCATGCAACCAAAAAATCTCATGCGGCCAAAATGACTCCTAAAGCCAAGAAAGTTCTTGCATACAAAGCAATCTCCAATTAAAGGTATATAATATAAAGTAAATGGAGATTGTTATAAAGTAAATAGAAACACTTATAAAGTAAACATTTATCTGTATAAGTCTGTGTTTCAAATTTAAAGATGCATACTATTACATAATTGAATATAAAAAGTAAATGGTTAGCGTAGTAACGTAAATAAAAAAGCGTATAAAGTAAATATATATGTTTTAAAAGTTTTTTTAATATGTCTATACTTATAAACTGATTGTGTAAACTAAACGTAATATGTGCTAAGCTTCAAAGGATTTCAAAAAAGCAAATATTGGAAAGAGAAGGATTAAGGAACTAGAAGCATCAAAAGGTTCATAAAAGTATATAAAATTAAATTCATATGTTATGTATTATATTTATGTAGTAAGGAATCTATTACACCAAGGTATTACATAAAAGTTTATAAAGTAAATGGAGATTGTTATAAAGTAAGTACAAATTGTTATAAAGTAAATAGAAACTCTTCTAAAGTAAATGAAAATTGTTATAAAGTAAATTGTTATGAAGTGAACTATTTACTATTATATGTCTATGATGTTTATTGATAACTTTAATAAAGTTAACAAAAATGCTTATAAAGTAAATATAAATGTTTTCAAAGTTGGTTAACATGTTTTAACAATTTATAGGAACAAAGAAAAGGCTAAAATCTGAAGAAGATCAAAATGAGGATTCTGATGGTTCATCAGAAGAAGACAGAAAAAAGGGAAAAGCCCATTTAAAGAAAAAAATGAAGCTTGACAATTCTGACCTTGATGTACATGAAGTTGTTGATGTTAATGATGATGATTATTGTAATCTGGAAATCAAGAAAACACACTGCAGACCTAATGCAGTTGTTGATTTAATCAAGGATTTTAGTGAGAGGCAAAAAAAGATGTCATAAGTATTGGAGGACTGCTTGAACTAAAATTAACAAGAATTTCAA